CAAGGAATACACAAGTAACTGCCCTGGGATCAAGTTTGCCTCTAAGATGAGGCAAAGTGAAAGCAAAACATAAATAACCAAAGCTCCTAATAAGATAAGTGTAATCAGGTGCTTTGCGAAAAAATACTTCATAAGGGGATTTATAGTGAAGAAGCTTAGTTAGAAATCTATTAATAAGAAAAGTGGCAGTAAGAAGACATTCCCCCCAAATAACAAATAGGTACTTTAGAATGAAAAAGAAGGGCCCTACAAATTTCCATCAAATGCTTGTGTTTTCTTTCAACAATACCATTTTATTCAGGAGTACCAACACAGGCGGTTTGGTGAAGAATTCCTTTTGAAGAGAAATAGGCTATGGCAACAATACTGCTGCCTAATTCAAAGGCATTATCAGACCTGATTTTCTTGACCTTGACTTCAAATTGTCTTTCTACCATAGATATGAAAGACTTTAGGACAGTGAAAGCATTACTCTTGGTGCTCAACAAATAGGTCCAAGTACCCCTACTAAAATCATCAACAATTGTAAGGAAGTACTTAAAACCATTATGGGTAGGTACTTTATAAGGACCCCAAGTATCAATATGAATGAGTTAAAAAATGTGAGAAGTAGAACTGTTGCTATCAAGAAAAGGAAATCTGTGTTGTCTAGCCATAAGGCAAGTGGAAATGGGAATATCTTCTTTACAAATAGCAGTTTGTGGTAAAACATAAATATATCTCATGGTAGAAATAGGTAAATGTCCCAGTCTTACATGCAGGGAACGCTTAGATGATGTTTTTCTTCCTGGGATGCAGTAAGTAGATCGAGAGGTCGTCGAGCCTGTCCTACTCATTCTCCTTTTCCCATTCCTGACCCTGAGTGTGGAGGGGTTAGCCTTGAGCCAAGGCCCGTACTCTCTCTTCTGTGGATACGCAATCCCTTCCGGCTATGGTATGGGGAAGGGGAGGTGAGATCTACTCATTGATTTTATATTAGATGAGCGGCCGTACTATGATCGTTCGGGAGACTTGGGCCCCACAGATTATTACCAGAACTAACAAAATTAGACATAGTATGTGAATTACAACAGGTTTGAGAGGAATTTTGTGTAAGTATAACATTCTTATTTGAATGCAAAGAATTAGTAGAATGGTGGATTGAATGAAAAAGGTAGAGTCCAGCTTTGACATCACCAAGGACCAGAGGCCTCCTCAAAGAAAGGCCATGCATCAAACAACAAGTTTCAGCAAAGGTAAGAAGAACTTTGAATTGGCTGCATAATTTGTTAACTGAAATCAGGTTGAATTTAAAATCTGGGACATAAAGTACTCTGTGTAGGGTCAAATCTGGATATATAGTTACTTGTCCTGCTAGAGTAACTTTTACCCTTTGTGAATTAGGAAGGTTAACATTAACATGATTGAGTAGTGGTTTGATATTAATTATGATAGTAGAGTCAAATGTCATGTGTTCTGAAGCACTAGAGTCAAGGATCCAAATATGACTCTTAGAATTATTATGTGAATAGGGAATAATAGGCAAGCATGTACCGGCACAATTAGCATTGACATTGACTTCAAAACTTGCTGTAGCTTGATGACCAATTTTAACTTGTTGAAGCAGTTCCATCAATTGTGATAATTGTTCCTGCTTTATATCAATTGTTGCCTTTGTATCATTAGCCTGAACTTGACCATAACTTTCATCTGTTGTGACAGCATTCCCTTGAATGGGATTCTGAAATCTTCTTTGTTTGAAATTTGGCTTAAAATTCCGTGGATAGCCATGAAGTTTATAACATTTGTCAATCGTGTGTCCTGGCTTTTTGCAATAGTTACAATTCAGATTCCTCCTGTTTTCTTGGTTGTTTCTAAAATTATAACCACTAGTATTTATTGTAAAATTTGTGGTTCTTCCTTGAGTCTGGTTAAACCTTTGTGTTGGGACAGCAAAAGAACTAAATTCACTAGGATATTGACCCATACTCTATATTCCTCTCTGCCTTTCTTCTTGCAGGAGTAAGTAATATGCTCTATCAATGTTAGGTGGTGGATGGATCATCATGATATTATCCCTAACACTAGTATATGACTCGTTTAACCTCATTAAAAACTGAAGTAGTTTTTGTCTCTCTTCAAGTGCAGCATTTTTGTCATTAGCCCCACATTTGCAATCAACACAGATATACGTAGTCGTAGCATCAAGTAATTCGATCTCATCCCATATAACTTTCATCTTATTAAAATAAGTCGCAACATTCGAGGATCCTTGCACTGTTTTTAATAGCTGTTTTTGTAACTCAAATGATTGTGCTAGGTTTGATTGCCTATATTTATCCTCGAGTTGTTCCACAAAATCCTCGCAGATTTCGAGTGAATTACGCTTGGCCTAATGTCTGGAGTGAGAGAATTCAGAAGCAAGCACAGATCATGTCATTGCACCTTATCCAGTACTTCAGATCTGGTGAATCATCCTTGGGCCTGACTAAGCTTTCGTCAATAAATCCTAGCTTGTTTTTGGCTGATAACACGATCAGAATTGATTGTCTCCAACCTCCGTATCCAGTTCCATCAAAAGGAGGAGAAATCAAGCACATTCTAGGAGAATCAGAAGCATGCAAAAAATAGGGATGATCTGGATCAATTTTCGTCGCCATTGCAGCCATCAAAGCAGTTTCAAAGATGAAATTCAGAAAACTTCAACGAACGGAACAAAATTCTAGAAGATTTAGAAGAAATATGTAATAGATTGATAATGAAAAGTAACTTGGTCGAGCAAGAGCTCTGATACCATGTTGATTTTAGAGAGAGAATTTTTGAAGAAGCCAAAATGAATTTCTATTTGATTGAATCTGTCTTTGTTACAAGCAGAAAAGGAATATATATACATCCCACTAACTACTAACCGCCTCCCTTGTATCACTAGATAAACACGTGTGTAATGAAAAAGAAAATTACATAATTAACTTATTCTAGAAACTACTCAAACTATATGATACAGATGTAGCTTATGGACAACCCATGTGAGAAATAAGAGGAGTCCGATGAAGGCCCAATAGGCCCAATAGTTGTTTTACCCGCATAGCCCATTGTGGTCATTTACCTCATTTAATCGTAGTCAGTTGGAAGAAAACCCTAGCACCTCTTCATCTTCTTCATTCAACCCGGTTCCGGTGAAATGTCACCAGCAATATAAAGACGTGCAAACTATATTCAGATACATATTAATCATGTGTCTCCTTAATGACGAAGACTCGTGGCGTAGCCAAATTTAATGAAGGGTGGTCAGTTGAACATCCTTCATAAAAAAGTTATATTGTGTATATAAAATTCTATTGCCTATATAAATCAAAAATTACTTTTTATATATGTATCAATCTTGAACCGTCTTAGCGAAATTCCTGGCTTTTGCCACTACGGAAAACTACATCACCACAAAATATGTTTCCTATCAGTATGACTTTTATAGAATACGAACTCAAATTGTAAAGAAATAAATGAAAAATGTATTTACATGAAGACTCATCTAATGTTATTTGGTTGGAGATGAAAACTAGTTGCATATGATAATGATAGAAGTTGGTACCGGGGTGTAATGATCAAATTAAAGGTGAAGCATTTAGATATTCCTTAATTTTTGAACTAAAAATTAACAGGAAATTACGTTGAGCTACTATAAATTAAATTTCCTCCATTTTATTATATCTGAACTAGTTAAGCACAAAGTTTAAAACCGTAAAAAAGACTTTTAAATATTATAGTCATAAATTAAAGGTGCATACAACATCTAGAGATACCCTTGAATCTTTGTAATCTTAAATATGTCATGTCATTTGTATAAGTAAGTGTCATTGAAGGTAAATAGAATATTGAAACTAAAAACTTACTAAATATGAAAGGATGATATCAGTTGCGGCAGATTTTCACCAAAGGGTTTCAAAAAATAAAGAAGTAAACATACAAAAACTAAAAAAATTCTTTTTTTTTTATAAGCAAAAAGATTCAACATATAGTATATATGCATAAAACTACCTATATGTAATTTGACTTCCTTCAAATAAAGGTAGCTCCCCACTAAATGATCAGTATTATTTTTGAAATAAACTAAAAAGAAAAGTAAAATAAATAAAACAAAATGGAAATAGTATTTTATAATTAAAATTTATTTATAAATTATTAAAAAATCTTTAATTTTCAAATGACAATAGTGAGTATTATATAAAACGAGATAATAGAAAAAGGTAATAAAACAATGTATGATTTGATGACAAGGAAATTGGATTGGCTTAGATTCCCATTCTGGCCCTACACGACACGTATTCAAGTCAGCTGTAGGCAAATGGCAATCCTCCTAAATTATCTCACCATCAATCAATTTGGACATTTAAGAAAAAAGTGGCTTTGGCCGGTTTTGGCTGTCCAAATCTTTTATCACAACACCAAACAACCCTTTGAAAAGCAAAACAAACAAAAAAACAAAGACTTCTATTTGACGCAATGTTCGTAGTGCATTAATTCTTTAATAAATTATGATCTTAAAAGTGAGCAGTCGGATGTACTAAACTCCCGTTATATGCGGGATCCCGAAAAAGATCGAACCACAAGAGTCTGTTATACGCAGTCTTACCCTATAAATTTTCTACGATTGGAACCCGAGAAATCCTGATCACATGACATCAACTTTACTGGCCAAAGCTTACCCTTCTATGATCTTAAAAGTATTTTTCTAAAAATCATACTAATAAAACATGTTTTGACTATAAATAATAATATAAAGAACAAAGAAGAGTATTCAAAATCAAATACTAAGGGGTCGTTTGGTTGGAAACAAATTATCCCGGAATTAATTATTTCGTGATTAGTTATCCCAAGATTAGTTATTCACCCTCTCATAAGAATAAATAAACACTATAATCTCGGAATTAGTTATACCATAATTTTATCTCAACTAAATGTAAAATAAACTCATTTCAAATTTAATCCATCATCCCTCCTCCTACCAAACAAGCCCTAAGAGAAACTCTAAGCTCTTCATTAAACCTCTATACTTCATTCCCCACCATTTTTCTTGCCTTAATCTTGTGAAACTCCACTTAAAAAACACAACGAAAACACGTTCTCATTGTCACTTTACAGTACTGGTTCTCTTCAATAACTTCACTTTCACTGAATCTTTAAAAAAAAAAAAAGTTGAACAAACAAGAAGAAGAAAAAGCAAAATTTGAAGAGCAACAAGATGTCATTTGTTTTGGGAGTTGTAGTTGGGCTTATAGCTGGAGTTGGTTTAATAGTTCTGTTTGTTAAATCTGAAAATTCCCGATCCAAACTCCGTTCTGAACTGGTTAGTCACTTTCTTAGTGATTATTAAAAAAAGGGTCTTTTAGCTTTCTTTTTTATTTTGAATTTAAAGGTTGCATTTTGATGTATGTTATTATTGAATATTGTAAAGGCTGCTACAATAGCAGCGTTTGCTAGAATGACAGTGGAAGATTTCAGAACGATTTTTACACCTGACCACTATCCTTCTTGGGTTGTTTTCTCCAATCAGCAGAAGGTCAGTATGTGTGTGTGTGTTTTAAGCTTATCTTTACTTATCATATTTGTGAAATGTTTTTGTGTAAAGGTAGTGAATTTTTTAATGTTTGTTTCATGTTTTTGACTCTTACAGTTGAAGTGGCTTAATTCTCATCTTGAAAAGCTCTGGCCTTATGTGGATGAGGTTAGTCTAAATGTCTATGCAGTTTTGGTCTTTAATTTTTGAGGGTGTCAGCATTTTTCTTTATTTCTAATATTTGGAGTCTTTTTCTTTTATTATTTTATTCATTGGTTAATTGAGTTGGTTCTGGTAATTGTTATTCAGGCAGCATCAGAACTGGTAAGATCAAGTGTGGAGCCAATTTTGGAACAATATAGACCTATGATTTTGGCTTCATTGAAATTTTCCAAGTTTACTCTTGGTACTGTTGCTCCTCAATTCACAGGTTAGATGATGGCTCGTAATAACGTTCTTCAGTAGTTGCATTTTATTTCTGTGTGTATAAACATGTGGTTTGGAAAATAATTTCTTATTGTTAGAAGGAAAGGAGATACATAGTACTACTTACTATTTAAAGTAGCTGTTTCATTTCCGAAAAGAAAGATAAATCATTGAACATGTAGTTAGCTTTCAACTCATTGTCGCCCCAATTCATGCTTTCCCGTGTATTGCGTATAAGTAGCTAACGTCGTCTTACATTTCTCTTTTACTCATATTGGCTCTCATATTACTTTAATACTCTTTTCGTCCTATCTTATGTTTCTCATTTTGATGGTACGTGAAGTTTAAAGCTATGGCACAAATGAATATTATTTCAGTGGCGATATATAAAATACTTTTGGTGTATAAAATTCATAAGTAGAGAAAAAGATCATATCATACTCAGAAAAGAAAAAGAACTTGGATTGTTTGAAACTTGTGTGGTTTGTACATTGTTGCTATTCATCTGTAAAATTGTGCCAAAAGAAGTGTTAGAAGATAAGAAATAGTGTCTCATAGGATGGAGGCTCTGTGCAATGTTAATGCCCTTTTATATCCTAAATAAGGAAGAATTTTATTGAAGCAATTATGGTTAGTATAATTATTATTAACCAGCTTATGGTCCAACTCTTTTTTCTTGCACTCCTTTAATTCCCAATCTCTGTCTCTCCTGCTTTATCACTCAAATAACATTGATCCTGTACTAAATGACTTTGAGCATGTTTTTCCTTGCACCAATTACTTTTTCTTTGCCATTCATTTACTTTTAGTTTATATTTTCATTTGTACAAAAATTCAAATGGGCACACAGAGTGCTTGTTGTGTTGATTCCTAATATATAAATGGATTTATTTCCCAAAAAGGGTAGAAAGACTTAAAAGTGGTCGTGGAGCAGGTAAAGAGAGAAATTATCGAGCTTTATACTCACCTTGTTAGAGATTGCAAGTCGTGCTTTTGTTTTTGCTCAAGCTGTTGGTTTTCCTTGAACCTGTTATACTAGATTTTATCTTGACTTTTCTGCTTGTCCTACTTTCCCCTTTGATCCACCCATGAGTCTTGACTACTTCCATAGATGGCAATTTGACCAGTTCTATTGACGCTTCATTTAATTATTCTAAAATTTTGCATATTAGACTACCTAAGAAATTACATCGGACGAGTTTTATTCTAATCGAAAGTCAAAAGTCATTACCCCTACCTCACTGTTGGAGTTGTCATAATATTTCTGCAGTAATGTAGTCTCTTTGACAAGTCAAAATGTGACAAATAAATTTGGAAAGAAAATGAAAGAAGAAGACAATTGAACCTGATGAAGCTATTTGAATAATAATCTAGTGCGTAGTTTCATTTAAGCTCTAATAAAATATATTGCTTAGGGGGAGAAACACATATTTTATTCAACACATAATTGGTGCTCACACCTGATTTTTCTTTACAGGAATTTCTATTCTTGAAGATGGAAGTGAAGGTATTACCATGGAATTAGAGATGCAATGGGATGGGAACCCTAGCATTATACTCGATATCAAGACATATGTTGGTGTGGCGTTACCGGTGCAGGTAATTTAGTTGGCGATTGCAGCTTAGAATTATACTAAATAGCTTGCCCTCCTAAGAATTGTGTCATTTTTGTTTCATTATACACTTAATGCGATCTTAATTCGAACTGACATGCTAATTGCTTCTGAGATACCAATTTGTTGCCATTGTAAATAACTCGAATTAAAAATGTCAGTGAGCTCTTTGTTAATATTTGTTTTTCTAATCTCTGACACAGCTACTTATTAATATCTTTAACCTTGTATTTTATTATTGTTATGACCCAAATCTGTCCATGACTGACACACGGTTCCACTGTGCGATCCAGCGAATCCGGTACTCACAGTAAGAGAAATATAATGAAACCTACACAACAAATCCTACCTAAGCATACATAAATATCTCTTAACAGAGTATCCAACAGAAACAAGGTCAGATATAAGTATGCGAAGCAATCTAGGAGTAACTTATACGACTGTGGATGATATCTATAAAAAAGGTCTGAAATGCATAAATTATTAGCTTCCACTGAACAAGTGTGTGGCTCATCAGAAGCCTTAACTGTATCCCTGCACTCTCTCGGCAAGCTCATTCCTCGGGAACAACCTTAGCCCTATATCTGTATCAACGAGTCAAGAGTGAGTCAACTGACCTTGCAAATGATAGAGAAAAACCATAACTTACTAGGGAAAAATATTGCTTTCGAAGGATACATAATCAGGAGAAACATCTCCACAATATAACTGATAGTACAATATTGATAAGAGGTATCTCAATACATTCTCACTGTACTTTTTCTATTACATGACCCTTGTGTCGTGTGTGCATTTATGCTGTATACTTGCAAGTTATTTCAGACAATTACCATATTTTTCGACTGTGTAATGTATGAATTCAATTATAGGTACTTGCTATAGAAACAATATTGCTATAATGTTAAGCATTCATGATTAGCTTTTGTGTGTTCATGGTGTTCTTGGTTCACTTGGTTGTGGTTGGCTACAGTGAAGGCAACTAAGAGGTCTTGTCAACTATCCTCTAGACATCATATTACTCTAGTGTTCTCCAGTAGAGTTTTTTTTCCCATCATTTCCCTGTAGTATCTACTTGTTCAAGGTCTCCATCTTAGAAAGATAGTTGGACCTATTTTCCACTTCTTAACTTGTATTTAACATGTTTTCTTGTCACCTTTCTTCCGACTTTAATTAGCTTTCAAAAATTTTCTAGCTAGTCTCAGGGAATTTGATTTTGCATTAATGTGTCCTGTTTTAGGTGAAAAACATTGGGTTTACTGGGGTTTTCAGGCTGATCTTCAGGCCGCTTGTTGATGAATTTCCCTGCTTTGGAGCTGTTTGTTATTCACTAAGGCAAAAGGTATTGTATATACTTCTAACTTCAATTGTATCCTTCTAAGGTTATTGAGCATACTGAATTACGTATTTGTTACCATAAAAGTGTGTGCGTGTCACGTGTGTACATACAAGTACAAAATTAACTTATGAATGTCTAAAGCTATTTCTTGGGTCTAGAGTTAATATTGGATTTGGATGATTTTCTAACAGCTACTTGGTCAATAACTGATGGATTTGCCAACTGACTCTTGGATTTAGATGCCGATACTCCAAGTAAATCCAAATTATGTATCTTGATAAACATGCATGACACCTAACATGTCCAGAACTAATCATCCTGTACTTGGTTTTTGTTGAAGTGTAAGGTTCACATAAGATGCAAGCTAGCCTGGATAGCCACACACATGTACAATTAACACCACTCCTAAACTTAGGAGAAAAAAATGACACTGAAATTTTTGTGATCTGCAGAAAAAGCTGGATTTTACGCTTAAAGTGGTTGGTGGTGACATGACAGCAATACCTGGCATTTCTGATGCAATTGAGGTTTGGGAAAAATTTTACAATTTAATTTTGTTACGTTTATGGTCGCATCTTGTCGTCCTTCAATAACTTCTGATGCTGCGTGATTAGATATAATAAGTTCCTTAGATGCTCGGAGTGCTGGAATTGGATAATGCTGGCAAGTTCCAAGCTTTATCTGTTCCCTCTCTCCTTTCCCGAAAGAGTGGAAGAAACTGATGAATACTAAAAATATCTATGTGATTGGTGTTGGGTAGAGTTACCGGTACAAGTGCTAGTGGGGGGTAGCAAGTACCCAGTGAAATTTTCAAGGTGCACACAAGCTGGCCGGACACCGTTATTGTAAATAATATCTATGTATTATTGTACAAGGATATGTTTCTATGTGATTATACAAGGGTATCTCATCTGTTTCGCATTGGGTTTCATAGTGTAGTTATGGCACATTAATGATATATGATGAGAGTGAAGATGAAATCAGCAAAAGAAAACCTTTTTAGTCTCTTGGTGCATTTCATATCAGTGTCCTTATTGGTAAGAAAGAGAGCACAAACCATTTGTTTGAATTGTCTTCTCTTGTTTGCGATTTTTGCACTCAAGTTTTGAGAAAGTTCTAATTTTTTTGTGGTTCGAGACTAAATGAATTTCTCTCTACAGGGCACTATCCGCGATGCTATTGAAGACTCTATCACATGGCCAGTTCGAAAAATTATTCCCATTTTGCCTGGGGATTATAGGTATTCTTGTTAATAAGGGCGCTTCAAATTTTGGTTCCAATCGAACATATTCACTTTCTCATTAAATACTATAACGAAGTTTTTCAATACCCCTTCTGTCCCAATTTATGTGGCATACTTTTCTTTTTGGTCTATTCCAAAAAGAATGGTACCTTTCTATAATTAGAAATTATTTTACTTCAAACTTCCTATTTTACCATGAATGAGATGATTTACAGCTACAATTGTTTAAGGTTTGTTTTAGACTACAATTCCAAAAGTCATCCTTTCTTTCTTAAACTCTGTGCCTAGTCAAGCGGTGCCACAAAAATTGGCACGTAGGGAGTATAAGATATCCAAAGATGGAATTTGGATTTTGGAGAAATCCCCAAAATTTGAGAGAGTAATCGAGATGACTTCTTCCATTTTGCTGTTCAGTTACTGACTTAAAAAGTTACTAATATGTTTAATTTCATAATGACCTAATGTCTACGTGGAAGCTGTAAAAGTTGTACTAGATGTTTATCTGAATATTGACCCTAACAAGACAATGTAACGTTTTACTTTTATGCAAAACTTGGACTTTGATTGGTTTCTCTGTGACATTCTATTTTATTGCTATTAGTGACCTTGAACTGAAGCCTACTGGAGTATTGGAGGTGAAACTTGTTCAAGCAAAGGAGTTAACAAACAAAGACCTCATTGGTAAATCTGATCCTTTTGCCGAGTTATATGTCCGCCCTATACGAGATAGAATGAAAAAGAGCAAAACAATTGTAAGTTTTTCATCTCATCTGTTTGTATGGAAGAGATTTGGTAATACACTGACCAAGTTTAACATTTAAGTAAACAATTGTTCTTTTCAGAACAACCAATTGAACCCAGTGTGGAATGAGCATTTCGAGTTTGTAGTTGAAGATCCGTTGACACAACACTTAGTGGTAAAGATCTATGACGATGAAGGGCTTCAGGCAGCTGAACTAATCGGATGCGCACATATCCGTTTAAATGAGCTTGAGCCTGGAAAGGTGAAGGATGTCTGGTTGAAATTGGTGAAAGATTTGGAGATCCAAAGAGACCAAAAGAACAGGGGACAGGTGACAATTGCAAACACAAACAAATTCATGCAATAGTTTATTTTAGCTCTTTGTCTGAACTATTCTCTTCATCTTTGGTTTAGGTGCACTTGGAGCTATTGTATTGTCCTTATGGCATGAAGAATGGGTTCAGTAACCCTTTTGCGCCGAATGTGTCAATGACTTCACTGGAGAAGGTACTTAAAAGTGGAGCAGAAGGAAAAGAAGCTGCCCAAAATGGGGGTGAAATCAACAGGCGAAAGGACGTAATAGTACGGGGTGTACTTTCTGTAACGGTGATATCAGCTGATGATTTGGCCCCAACTGATCTAATGGGGAAAGCTGATCCTTATGTTGTGGTTACTATGAAGAAGACTGAAACCAAGAACAAAACCAGGGTATCTGTTCTTCTTGTTATTTAAATGTTTAGTTAGGTTTAAAGTTGTTCATACGTTGCCATCTTTTTTGTAAGGATCAAATATAATTCATAACTAAGTATAATGCTGATTTTTTCTTTTCCTTATGTAGGTTGTGCCGGAAAGTCTAAATCCAGTGTGGAATCAGACTTTTGACTTTGTCGTTGAGGATGGGTTACATGATATGCTAATTCTAGAAGTGTGGGACCATGACACCTTTGGAAAGGTAGAGTATCTTTCCCTATAACCAATTCCAAGTACTTATCCTATTACTATTGGTCTTGGTACAATATTTCATTAGCATTAATCTATGTTACTCGGACTCTCCAAAAATGTCGCCGGGTGTGTGTCGGATTCAAAAGTAGTGTATTTTTGGAGGATCCGGCACCAGTGCTTCATCATTTTGGAGAGTCTGTGCAACATAGGCATTAATAAGCCAGTAAGTGTTGTATCTATTCAGACACCAATGTTTCCTGATGTGAGATTTTCTTTAGCTGAAATAACCTCATTAAACCCATTGCTAATTTTTGCTTAAATTTAGAACAGGTAAAGTCTCCTATGCCTTGTTTGGAGTTGTCAGATGATCTGGGACATACTAGAATCTTTTTGGAAAATTCAAAGGCTTAATTGTTCAGATAGATTTAAGAAAACCGACAACATAAGCAATTGAAACATTAAAAAGTTGAACCTCGATATTACAGATGTGTTCATCAGTTACCGTATTCTTGAATTTTAATTGAATGATCAGCATCTGAATTTTGTTGATAAATTCAACATGATATACTCTGTGTTTGAAGAATAAGATGAATAGGGAGAACAACAAATTATCTAGCTTTCATCCAGACAAAAATCATGCCTTGTCTATTCCTCTAATAACCATTTGCCTTATCGTCAACCGACCAGCAAAATAATGTAGTCATCTCCAATTATTTTCTTGATATACAAATGCTTGATTAGTACAAAGAAACTGCCGAGGTCAAAGGTGAGGCTGGTTCGGATCAGGCGTTTGTTACTTTCTTTTTTGGTTTACTCATCTTTTTATATATTTGTGCTATTCATTTTGTGGGAAGCAGTTATTAGTTAGTATTTCTCCCTTAGCATGTCAAACAGCTTAGACATGTGAGACCAATAGAAACATTAGCATTATTCATTATGCTAAATTGAATTCTCGATGGAGATCCATATATGTAATTTATGACAAATCAATCCTCCAAATCAAGATAGAGGATGATTTTTGAGGGATTTTCCCCTTATTTAAGTGGGGATTTGGGGAAGGGGCGGAGACATTGTTTTGTACGGAAAAGAACGTACTGACACTTGATGTTTACACCATACCACATTAATTTACAAAAATAAGTGATGGATTGAGGCGAAAGTACATACTAATCGACCATGGTTAGCGATAAAATTGTATATGAACGATACATGCTATGCATTCTCTAGTTTGATGTAAATAACGGCAAGCTCTTTCCGTTGTGTACCACTTGTAACATAAATGTGATTACAATGATTCATTTCCAACAAAAACTACATATTAACTATGGTTAGTGGTAAAAGTTTTATATTTATATGAAAGACACGTGTCATGTATTTATTGGTTCGTTGTAAATAATGAATGTCGGCAAGCTCTTCCCGTTGAGTACCACTGGTAATATAAATGTGATCGATCACAAAGATACATTTCCAACAAAAAACTACATACTAAGTATGTTTAGCGGTAAAAGCTTATATGAAAGACATGTATCATGTATTTATTGGTTTGATGTAAACACTGGACATCGGTAAGTTTTTTCTGTTTGTACCGCTGCTACATAAATGGTGATTACAATGATTCATTTCCAGTGTTTACAGTTTTATTCTGTTGGCAGGATTACATGGGAAGGTGCATATTGACATTGACAAGAGTACTAATGGACGGTGAATATAAAGAAACCTTTGAATTAGATGGAGCAAAATCAGGGAAACTCAACATGCATCTCAAATGGGCACCACAGCCCATATACAGGGACTCCTAATGATGAAAAATTTATAGGAATGTTTTTTTGTTGTTGTAAGACTTGTATACAATACAAGTTAATTTTGTATCTTTTGTTATAGGCAGTGACAATTTGTAGAACTAATCATTTTTGTAGATAATTGTTTGATTAATGCAGAGGAGATATTAATGTAAAGCTGCAAAACTTCTGAAGTGAAGCTGAAGCTGGAGAAAGAATAAAATGTAGTATAGGCTTACATATATAAACTTGGATTTAAGGCGTTTGTTTGGTTATGGAGATTTAATTCTGTGTTAATATAGTCTTTGGTAGCTATTTTTTTTAACCTAATATATATTCGCTGCATTAATTATATAGTACTGTAGGATTTTCAAGTAGCACTATAATCAGTTGAATTTGCAACAGAATTTTGAGTTAAAGTTTGCATAAGGCTGCAGAAATGTCCTTATGCCTTCTTTTTTTCCTTTTTCTTTTCCATTTAGTGGTCAATTAGTTAGGGTAAGCCATATGAATCTCGCCATGCATTCATCTCGATCCACTATTCAGATAGGGTAGGCTTAGGAGTGTCAAATGGATGGGTTGAGCCGATTTTGGGCGAGTCAAAATGAGTTGAGTTAATAATTAGGCAGGTTGGGCTAAGTTGGGCTGGGTCAAGATGGGGCGATGTGCACAAATAGCCACTAAGAGCACCTGTCTTTACTTTAAAGCCAGTGTTTTAAATGTCTTTAGTCTTTAGCCACTGGTTTAATAAATTTTTACCTGACTGGACGAAAATACACTTCTGCACAACTTATACCTACACTTTTATTAACGATCATGCAACAACATTAACTAACTTAAGCAGTAGCTTCTCTTCCGATTTGAGATTGTGATCGCTATAGAATTGCAGAAGCTTCTCTTCCGATTTGAAACTGTGGAATTCAACTTTCTCGTCCAAATATTGACATAAATTTACAGTAAGTTATGCTTTTGTGTGTTTCTATTGATTTTTATTTCGTTACTACGAATTTGATACTTGGATTTTTTTTTTTTTTGAATTTCTGGATTGATAAGGTTAAGGACATTGCGTCCTTTGATAATTCTATAAAAATTGAGCACAAAATGTTAAAAGGACATAATGTCCTTAAGTTTTTTGCTGTTCTTCTGAATATTAAGCACATATTGTCATAGTTTTTCAAATTGATTTGAAAAAGTTAAGGACATTTGGTCCTGAAGTTTGAGTTTGAAGTTGAAAAGTTAAGGACACTTGGTCCTGAACTTTGACTTACATGTTCAAAAGTTAAGGACAGGCAGTCCTTAACTTCAAGTTTCAAGTTGAAAAGTTAAGGACATTGAGTCCTGAAGTTTGTGTTTCAAGTTGAAAAGTTAAGGACACTTGGTCCTGAACTTTGATTTATATGTTCAAAAGTTAAGGACACTTGGTCCTGAACTTTGACTTACATGTTCAAACATTAAGGACAGGCAGTCCACGTTAAGGATAGACAGTCCTTAACTTCAAGTTTGAAGTTGAAAAGTTAAGGACATTTGGTCCTGAACTTTAACTTACATGTTCAAAAGTTAAGGACAGGCAGTCCTTAACTTCAAGTTTCAAGTTCAAAAGTTAAGGACACTTGGTCATGCAGTTTGATTTCCAAGTTCAAAAGTTGAGGACACTTGGTCCTTAACTTTGAATTCCATGTTCAAAAGTTAAGGACACTTGGTCCTGAACTTTGAATTACAAGTTCAAAAGTTAAGGACACCTGATCCTTAACTTTGAATTACAAGTTCAAAAGTTAAGGACACCTGATCCTTAACTTTGATTTCCAAGTTAAAAAGTTAAGGACAGTTGGTCCTTAACTTTGAACACCAAGTTCAAAAGTTAAGGATACTTGGTCTTGAATTTACAGTACCTATTCTTAATTATACAAGGATTGCTCTATAAAATATGTCCTGAGTTTCCCATTCTCTTGACTTGCAGGATGGAAACAATATGCATTATAGTTGCTTTTAATGGTAGATGGACTGAAAGTATCGTGATCATCAAACAAAGCTTGTTCTAGTACCTGAGGCAATTCAGTTTCAAGATTTCATTAAACAGATCTTTGAAGTTATTGAATTGGATATAGACAAGTTTGAAGCAGTGATATGGTTTGATATCAACTTTGGAACAAGCAAGGGAATGCTTGTATCCAAAGATTTAGATCTTCACACATGTATTGAGTTACTAAAAAGTCATTCACTCTTCAAGGGCTGTCGTTTCATTGTTGATATTTCGGAAAGAGTTTGTGGATCAACAAGTGCCTTTGAACATGTCAACAGAGAAACTCAACATGACAATCAAAACAAATGCCAACAGATAATGGAAATAGATATGGTTGAAGCTCAACCAATAACTGAAGAGGCGCTTCAAATANTGCACTTTCGATCAAAAACCCGACCAAACGGCGTCCGAATGACCTGAAATTTTGCACACACATCACAAATCACATAACGAAGCTACAGCAACTCTCGAAATTCCATTCCGGACCTCGGATCAAAATCTCACCCATCAACCGGAATTCGCCAAAATACTAACTTCGCCAATTCAAGCCTAATTCTACACCGGACCTCCAAAATCAATTCCGATTGCAGTCCTAAGTCACAAATCATCCCCCCGAAGCTAACCGAATCACCGGAAATCACATCCGAGCCCTATAACTCATAAGTCAACGTCCGGTTGACTTTTCCAACTTAAGCCTTCCTTAAAGAGACTAAGTGTCTCATTTCTTATCAAAACCAATCCAAATCAACTCTCACACACCACCTACCGATAACGAAACATGAAGAAGCAATATACGGGGAAAACGGAGCAGTAACACATGAGACGACGGGTCGTGTCGTCACAAGAGTGTACCGGTAATCGAAGAAGTTGCTGAAAAAACCTCTACTCAACTAACTAGACGAAGGTCAAATTTGAAAAAAAGAAAGAATCCCCAACTACGATATTAAGAGAAAATGCTTTGTTGGATGAAATAAAAGTGGGATCAATATTTGACAAAAAGAAGAGTATAATTAACTATTTTTCGAATATAGCAATTAAAGGACATTTTGAATTCAAGGTTGTTAGATCAAGCTCAACAAGATATTCGTTGAAATACAACGATGATAGGTGTAGGTGGTGTGTGCGTGCTTTCAGAATTAAAGATTCAACACTGTTCAAGATAGTAAAGATTGAGAAAAATCATGACTGCTCTGTTAACACTATGAAAGCTAATCAAAGGCATGCAACTTCAAAGTTGATTAGTGGTTACATTTTCGACAATCTTCGAGACCCAAGGTTTGAAGTTACACCAGCTTTTGTCATTGCAGAAATGCAAAAATTGCATGGACTAGACATTGGGTATCACAAGGCGTGGCGTGCTATTCAATGTGCTTCTTAATAAGAGGAACTCCTGAAGAGAATTATGAATTATTGTCTTCATACTTGTATATGATGAGAAGTAAAAACCCGGGAACATATACTAACATAAAGATAGACGACAACAACATGTAAACAATCAAAAAAGAATTTATTAGTCTGTTTTATAAACTTTAGGACATGCTGTCTTTAACCAGTTAAAAAGTTAAGGACGTCTTGTCCTTAACTTTCATGTGTGCAGTCAAAAAGTTAAGGACACTTGGTCCTTAACTTAGAATTGCAATTTATAAAATTAAGGACATGGTGACCTTAACTTTTGACCTTGTTAGTCTAAGTTAAGGACTCCATATCCTTAACTTTTGAACTTTGAACTCAAAGTTAAGGGTGTATTCCTTAACTTTATAACTTGTAACTCAAAGGTAAGGACTGCATGTCCTTAACTTTATAACTTGTAACTCAAAGTTAAGGACTGCCTGTCCTTAACTTTTGACCTTGTTAGTATAACTTCAGGACTACTTGTCCTTAACTTTTGGCCTTGTTACCTGAAGTTCAGGACTACCTGTCCTTAACTTTTGACCTTGTTAGTCTAAGTTAAGGACTGTCTGTCCTTAACTTGTGTTAACCTTGTTTTATACTGTATTTTCAGGTTTCTTTATATGTTTTATGCATATGGATCATCAATATCTGGTTGGAATCATTGTAGATCAGTGATTGCTGTTGATGCAACTTTTTTGAAGTCAAAGTTTCGTGGTGTTTTAATGATTTCAGTTTCAAAGGATGCAAATAACCAAATTTTCCAACTAGCCTTTGGAATAGCAGAATCTGAAAATAACAATTCTTATGAGTGGTACTTTAGTGAGCTTCGCAATGCAATTGGGAGCCGTGAGAATTTAATTTTTTTATCAGACAGGGATCAAGCTATTGCATATGCCATCGCAAAGGTATATCCTGAAAGCCACCATGGGATTTGTATCTATCATTTGGAGCAGAACATAAAGCAAAGGAAAGTGAAAAGTGAGGTCATAAAACTTTTTCAAACTGCTGCAAGAGTATACAGGCGCAAAGAATTTGATCTTTACATGTCAAATATAGCAAAAGTAGATAAGAAGACTTATGACTACTTGATGGAAGAACCACCAGAAAGGTGGGCACGTTCTTGTAGTCCACGACGAAGATATGACATGCTCACAACAAACATAGTTGAGTCAATGAATTATGTCCTATATATTAGAAGCAAGGGAGCCGCCTACATTAAGAATGATGGATTTTATTCAAGTGAAGCTACAACGTTGGTTTTATGAAAGAAGAAATGAAACAGAAGGAACTTTTTATGATGTTTCTTGTTGGGTAGAGGAGGAATTGAAGAAAAAGATAGATTTAGCATTTACTTTGAATGTAAGTATTATGTTCTATGTTTAGGTTATTATTTTAGTATAATTTAACATAATGTTCTAACTTATAATTTTTCAACATTGAAGGTCTACCCTGTTGATTCATGGCATTCTAGAGTTGAAGAAGAAGGAATAACTTTCTTGGTGGACTTAAACAAAAGAACATGTAATTGTTTTCAGTTTCAATTTGATGAATTGCCATGCATACATGCAATTGCAGCTATCGAGAAGAGAAACATCAAGAAGTCCAACTTTTGCTCGCACTGATACTTAAAGGAAACTTGGCTGAAAACATATGAAAGACAAATACATCCTGTAGGACATACTGATTCTTGGATTGTACCAGAGAGTGTTAAGTCACAAATTGTTAAACCTCCAGATTTCAAAGTGCCACCAGGTAGAAGGCAGAAGAAAAGGCATATTCTAGCTACCGAGTCATCAAAAATAACATTCAAATGTGGTCGTTGCAGAATAATTGGTCATAATAGAACAACTTGTATATATTCTCTGGCAGTCTATCCATTTTCAAGAAAGCATAAAGAATAGTAGATATATCCACTTATGTTTATCGACTATTTTAAGTTTTTGCAATAAATTGGATTCATTTAGATTATTCTTATTTGAGTAGATGTCTGATTTTCAAATTTTCTTTCTGCTTACGTTCTTTTTGTTTCTTTTGAGTTCAAAGTTCAAAAGTTAAGGACAGACAATCCTTAAGTTTGACTTACAGGTTCAAAAGTTAAGGACAGGCAGTCCTTAAGTTTGACTTACAGGTTCAAAAGTTAAGGACAGACAGTCCTTAACTTTGAGTTCAAAGTTCAAAAGTTAAGGACCGTCTGTCCTTAACTTTGACTTACAAGTTCAAAAGTTAAAGAAAGACAGTCCTTAACTTTGAGTTCAAAGTTCAAAAGTTAAGGACAGACAGTCCTTAAGTATGATTTACAAGTTCAAAAGTTAAGAATAGGCAGTCCTTAAGTTTGACTTACACGTTCAAAAGTTAAGGACAAGCAGTCCTTAACTTTGAGTTCAAAGTTCAGAAGTTAAGGACTGTCAGTCCTTAACTTTGACTTTCAAGTTCAAAAGTTAAGGACAGGCAGTCCTTAACTTTAACTTACAAGTTGAAAAGTTTAGGACACTTGGTCCTTAACTTACAGTTCCAAGTACAAAAAATAAGGACACTTCGTCCTGAAGTTTGAGTTCCAAGTTCAAAAGTTAAGGATTCAATTTCAAAAGTTGAGGACACATGGTCCTGAACTTAGACTTTCAAGTTCAAAAGTTAAGGACACTTGGTCCTGAAGTTTGAGTTTCAAGTTCAAAAGTTAAGGACACTTGGTCCTGAAGTTTCAGTTTCAAGTTCAAAAGTTAACGACACATACTCCTGAACTTTGACTTACAAGTTCAAAAGTAAAGGACACTTGGTCCTTTACTTTGAATTTGAAGTTCAATTACACTTGGTCCTGAACTAATACTTACAAGCTCAATGGACAAATCGATACTTGACAGAAACAAAGAAATTAATAACATGATGCCTTCATATTACTTCTGAAATTGTAATTTTGCATAGCTGTGACAAAAAATTATGCTATGTAAACAAAATAAAAGTGCCTTTTGAGGAATTTACAAGATATTTCAGAATTCATATGGATTCTTTACAGCAATTTTATACAAAAAATCAACCACAGCTAACTTTCTTTACAACTAAACTACAGCTCCGTCAGACAGCAAGTTTCATTTTCACTATCATAGTCGTCGCCAACATTTTGTGGTGGTGTATCATAACTAGAATTTCTTTTCCACTCTCCATGTGCCCAAAGATTTGCTGCAAGTTCTTTTTTAAAGTCTTTTATGTCTTCAGGTTGGAATTTCTCCACATCCTTTCCCATCATCAACAACTCCACATACTTGATTAGGAATGCACCACAATCAGTCCTAAGAAAGATGTAATATGGAGTCAATTAAACAATAAATCTAAAGTACATATAAATATATAACAAATAACAACACAGTACGATCCAGTTTGGTGTGGTGATCTTTGCCACTGAATATCAAATTTGTTGAATGCATTTCCAAAAGACTTATGATGTTTCTCAAACTGTGAGAACTTTAGCAAGTGGGGGATCATGCGTGCATACATTTCAATGTGATTCATTCCTGACTCATATGGCTCACTATATATGGAATCGTACACATCAATCTTTTTCTCATTCAAGTCCAATAACCCCAAAAGAAAATGTGTCACAGCATTATCATCTTCTGAAGGAAGCCGTGTGACGACCCGACCCGTCGTCTTAGGAGTTACCGCCCCGTTTCCCCCATTCTTATGCTTTTTCATGTTTCATTATCAGTATTTGGTGTGTTAGAGTTGATTTGGATTGGTTTTGGTAGAAAATGAGACACTTAGTCTCTTTAAGGAAGGCTTGTTTCGAAAAAGTCAACCGGATGTTGACTATTGAGTTAGAGGGTTTGGATGCGATTTTTGGTGATTCGGTTAGCTTCAGGGGATGAATTGTGACTTAGGAGTGTGATCGGAATTGATTTTGGAGGTCCGGTGTAGAAGTAGGCTTGAATTAGCGAAGTTAGTATTTTGGCGAATTCCGGTTGATAGGTGAGATTTTGATTCGAGGGTCGAAATGGGATTCCGAGAGGTGCTGTAGCTTCGTTAGGTAATTTTGGATATGTGTGCAAAATTTCAGGTGATTCGGAGGTGATTTGGTTGGGTTTTTGATCGAATGCGAGTTTCGGAAGAATTTGAAGAACTTAGGCTTGGATTTGATGTAATTTGATGGTTTTAGTGTTAATCGTGGTGTTTTGATGATTGGAGAAAGTTTGAATAAGGTATTGGATCATGTTTGTGTTTTTGGTCGAGGTCCCGGGGGCCTCGGGGTAAGATCGGATGGTTAAACGGAGAGTTTTGGAATTTTTGCATGTTAAAGGTCAGCTGGTATCTGGTATTTCCGCATCTGTGGAAAAGGGACCGCAGATGCGAAGAAGGGGTCGCAAGTGCGGACTGGACCAGTTGGAGGAATTTCGCAGAAGCGGGCGTATTCCCGCAGATGCGGTGTCCGCAGGAGCGGAAAATGACCGCAGAAGCGGTCCTGAGGAATTTTGAAGAATCCGTAGAAGCGGAGGAATTGCCGCATAAGCGGTAACCGCATATGCGGTATCTGGGTCGCAGAAGCGGAAAAAGGCCTGGGCAGAAGGGTTTTTAAATAACATTTTATCCGCGAGCTTGGGATATTTTCCACCATTTTTGAACAACATTAAGAGCTATTGGACGGGAATTGAAGGTGATTTCAACTGGGATTGATTGGAGGTGAGTTATATGACCTTGAAACACGATTATTATGTGAAATTTACCTAGAAATTCATGGAAATTAAGCCTAAAATTGGTGAACTAGGGCTTGAGTTTTTGATATTTCAAATTGGGATTTGATGGGTCATTTGAGCTCGGGTTTGAGAGTTCTTGGTATGTATGAACTTGTGGCGAGATAAGGAATCCGGTGATGTTAATTTTCTAATTTTTCGAGAAGTGGGCCCGGGGCTCGGGTTTTGCAATTTCGTAATTTTTGATGTTTTTCGATTCTTTTCGATTGGGTTATGTTCCCTTAGCCTATTGTGATGTATTCGCTCTGATTTTGGATAGATTCGATGCGCGTGGAGGCCGATTTGATGGGCAAGGGCGTCGCGAGCTAGAGATTTAACCGGATCGAGGTGAGTAATGATTGTAAATGATATCCTGAGGGTTTGAAACCCCGGATTTGCGCACCATAGTGCTATATTGAGGTGACTTACACGCCGGATAGCGAGCGTGGGGTAGAGAACCGTTGGGGATTGTGACTTGGTCTGTCCCGATTAATGATTTTTACCGCGTATTGGACTGGAACATATTTGTTATTATCATGATTTGGGCTGATTGCCATATTTGGGCTTCGTGCCAATTATTTGAACCCTTCGGGGATTATTTTCACTGTTTCCTCACTGTTTTGACTTATTACTTGAACTCAGTCATATTGTTTCTCCACTATTTTACAACTCAGCCACTTTTACTCAGATTTGGTCTTAAATGATATTTTAAATGATAATTTGGGCTGAGGACTACTGTTTTACTAATGCCCGAGGGGCTTGTGATGATATTCCGACTGAGTGTGGCCGAGGGCCAGATGTGAGGATACACTTAGTGATGTGAGGCCGAGGGCCTGGATGTGAGGATTATATATGGATCGGGCTGCATGCCGCAGCAGTATATTATATGGATCGGGCTGCACGCCGCAACTGTATGTATATATTAGATTGGACTGCACGCCGCAGTGATATAGCGCTTGGGCTGTAGGAGCCCCTCCGGAGTCTGCACCCCCACAGTGAGCGCGGGTACCCATATGGATTGGGTTGCACGCCGCAGCGAGCTATGCATCGGGTTGCACGCCGCAGCGATATGTGGATCGGGCTGCACGCCGCAGCGGCTACTATGTGATACTGTTCTGAGAATGTTGTTGAGAGTGAGCCCGAGGGGCTGGTACTGTTTTTTTTTGAGGGACTGCCCAAGGGGCGGACTTTTATGTGCTATTCTTGCATATTCATTTGCCTTTTACCTGTAATACTGCGGTATTTGTGCCCGAGGGGTGGACTTTTCTGTGCTTATCAGCACTAACTGTTTTGAAATTATTTTTGTAATTATTGAAAAGATCATTTTCAAAAGAGATTTGAACTGAGCCAAGGTATTTCTAAGATTTTCATAGATTACACTTGTTTTTCTCTAGAAAATTGTACCCGGCTTTTATATAGCATGTTGGTTGCTTTACGTGATTTCTTGCTTCTCAGTTATTATTTACCTTTATTACTCACTGAGTTGGAGTACTCACTTTACTCCCTGCACCTCGCGTGCAGTTGCAGGTATTTATTCACCCGGTAGCGGGTATTGGCTGCATGGAGGCAGAGTTGTAGAGGTTTTAGCGAGGTGACTGCCAGCGTACGCAGCACCACTGTCTTTCTATGTTATTCATTATTCTTGTTCAGTGTATTTCTAGACTGTAAAGTGGGAATTTCATTCTTATAGATGCTCGTGACTTGTGACACCCCGGTCGGGCTGTGTTGGGTTGTAATTACGTTAATTAATATCATTAAGTCATATTCGAACTATTATTTAACTGATTAACTGCTGAAAAGTGGTTTTCTGAAATGGTCTGGCTGGCCTTGTCTTCTCGAGACGCGCCATCACGACCGGAGCGGGGTTTGGGTCGTGACAAGTTGGTATCAGAGCCTACGTTACT